CCGTTTGCCACCAAATAATGGCGACAATTTTTCATGGTGCCACTATGTGAATTTTACTTCAGACTAACATTTTTGTGATATTCAGCATGGTGGATTGCTAGCGTATGGCTGCAAAACCCGCAGAGAAAAAAAAGTCGACAGGATTACATTTAACAGGCAAAAAACAATATGCTTTCTAGGTTATGTTATGAAAAAAGCAGACATTTTTTGGTGGCAAACTGCTTCATTTTCACCTGCTGTGTTACGAGTCCCCTCTCCTTCCTTGTCTAAGGGCAGGGGGAGCGGGAAGCGCTGGGGCCCCAGAACATAGGGGCTTTCTTAAAATCAAAAAAATCAAAAAAATTCCTCAATAAAGCTTAGTTTATATACTTGCGAATCGCGAATTGTGGAAAGCGAATAATGATCCCAGTGCCGACTCGAGCCTACTTTTAGGACTGAGCGAGATCCGACTTTGGCGCCCCTAATTCAAATATCTTATCAATAGTAATTTGAAAACATCCATATTGGTATCTACCTCAGAGGAATAATCTACGCTTTTCTTTTTGAGACTGGATTCCACAGAACATATCACCTCTAGAAAAGTATCTGCAATGTTATGTACCGGTTATGAATTACAGCGCCATCGTTGACTGAAAACCCAACTAATCGAGCATTCTTGACAAAAGGGCGAATTGATTTTTTTCATATATTTTTATTATTTTTAAATAATTTTTAATGTTCAACTGCATTTGGCTTGCTGACTCCTTTTAGCTCTTTTCGCCTCATTTTTTTGAAAACTATGACTGGCAGGAAGTTTCCGATGTCGAACATAGTGCAAAAAGAGTTAGTAAGTTAGCAAGAGACACGCAGCTATAGGTAGATCGCAAAGTAAATACGAATTATAAATACAAATACGAACGAAACGAAACAAGCGAGTAAATACAAAAAAATACGAACAAAAATTAGGGTTTTTTTCAACCAAAACTTTTTGAATTTTCACTTTAACGCGCGTGAGGACCATGGTTCATAGTTCACAAAAACACAATTTAAAAATTCAAATTTTGACTTTCAAAATGACAAAATAAATGACAAAACCAACCAACACAAATCACTGTCCACACCACAGATACCTGTAAATTTCTCTTATCTCCCGACAGTGTCGCCATCGTTGAATGAAAACCTAACTAAAAACCTTCGTCGCGATTCTCCCATTTGAGGTATTTTTCTATAGGTGATATGTTCTGTGCTGGATTCAAAGTAGAATGACAAGCAAATGCCAAATAATGAAAGTTGTGTGAAAAATGTATTTTTCTATTTTGGTGTCATATCGAAGTCTTTTCGACACTAAAAGTAGTTTCGAAAAGAAGCTCTTTCTTGGCTCTTTATGACACTCCTTTTTTACTTATCGGAGTACCAACCTCCACTCCAACACTGGCTGACTGATGGCCATCGAACTGTCATTCACTATAAAAAATAATAGAATATTACTATATTTGGCATGTAGTGTTACCAACCTAAACATATGAAATCAGGAAATATGAGAATAAAAATTCCAAGAAACGTTTTTTTTAAAAATTAAACAATACCAAAATAGAAAAAATAGTATAAAATATTCGTTTCATAAGACATTTTATCGCACTCGCCCTTTAGAAAACTCGCCTCCGGCTCGTTTTCTAATATAGGGCTCGTGCGATAAAATGACGTCTTATGAAACTTGTATTTTAATGTACCTACTATTATTTATTATACTTAATATTTATCTTTTAAAGGGAATCAAAGGCATCAGTGATCACCACTTTAACAATAAGGTAGGAAGCTCTCTTTTTTACCAACATTTGTTCCACATTCTTTGATGAGATTAATCAATAATCAACTTTGGTAATAATTAATAATTAACACTTACCTATAAAGCTAAAAATCGAACAAACAAAATACAAAATTAGCTGCAAAATCGCCGTTTGCGCACTTTTGTATTTGTAAATTTGTATGATCTCCTCATATGACAATGTCTGAGCTATATCATATTATCCCTATTATCCAATGGACAGCAGGGCCAGATCAGAAAGGTTATCTTCTGCTAGAGTTAACCCCTAAGGATCGTTTCACGTTGCGTTCGGAATTTTGTTCAAAGAGCAGAGCGTGCTGAAGCGGAGCAGTAGTCACGTGACCATTTGCGCACAGAGCAGTTAAACACTGTATCAGAGCCAATGATCAGAGCCCTCGAAATTTTAATAAACGAACACGAATGAGTCTGCACCGGGCCAACTTTTTAAATAAACGAACAGTAAATTCAAGCTTGGAGAACTCAGAGATCATAATACTGAACTACAGTGACTCTATAACCCACAGTGGCGACAATTGCTGTTTCATTTTTGATTGGTTCTAAAATCCCATATATTTATATTGAAAGCACCGCCATCTTGTTCCCAACCCCTTGTTACTTTTAAATATGAATATATGGGATTTAGGTGAACATTCATCATAAATCATGGTAAAGAACGTATTTGATGGACCTGATAATGGTCATCAAATACGTCGATTTCAATTTTTTATGATAGATGTCCATTTAAATCCTATATATTAATATTTAAAAGCAACAAGAGGTTGGGAACAAGATGGCGGCGTGACCTCTATTGTCGCCACTGTATGTAAAGGTTTATTTAGCCACTGTATACTGAACATACGGTTAATTAACCTAAGTTTGCTAAAGCTCCGTTCATCTTCGCCGCCAACAGGAATGGTTACAACAAAAAGAAGAACTGTCCAGATATTAGGGAACTTATCTTGCCAATTATTTAATGCTAAGGTCTAAAGGACTGCCTTTGGGTGACCTCTATCACTATCTTAGAACTTCTCCAAACACATTATTTCTCTTTTAGGGCCGGTTTATTCACCTATTGATAACCTGTCAAACAATGCAATCTGACGGATAAAAAGCCAATAGACCTGTCTCGCATGATTAGAAAAAGTGAGCTTAATTGAAATAAATACAAGTTAGAAAGCAATAGAAGATGACATGCGCGCGCAACTCGTAGGCTGCAGTGTAGCCAGATTGTATTGTTGCAGAACAAAATGTAGACAAAACAAGTCGAACATTATGACATTAACCTTGCGTTCGGTATTTTGCTCAAAGTGTAGAGCGAGCTGAGCGGAGCCGTAATCACGTGACCAGCGAGCGAACGGAGCAGTTGAACGCTGTATAAGAGTACCGGAAATTTTAATAAACGAACGCGAATGAGGCTGCACCGAGTACACTTTTTAAATAAACGAACGGTAAAGTCAAGCTCGGAGAACTCAGACCAAAATAACGAACGCACGGTAAAGAAGTGATATAGTGTCGAGGGTTTTACAATGCCTTAAATCAGACAAAAGAAGAGCTTTAAAGTGGATGACTATCGTTTGCACTTTTATTTTGATAAATGTTTCATCCGGCAACATCGCTCAATGAAATATGTCAAGTATAATCTAACATAACCTTAAACGAAACTGCGGTGAGTTCAAGTAATATGTAAAGTATTAGTTTGCTCTTTGTCAAATTACACGTTACAAAGAAAGAAGGAACGATTGATTCTGAACTGGCTCCTGAATTAGAATATGACGCAAGCCTGTCACAAACTTGCTTCTCATTGGACGCTCACCTGCAGCCTACAAGCGACGCGCGCAGTCCAGGTAATAGGAGATCGGTCTATTGGCAATCCCTTTGGTCGGCCAGTTATCCGTCGACCAATAGGATTATAGGTTCGTGAATTTGTCTTGCAGATAGTCATCAGAAAATATATCTGGAAATGAAGAAACCGGGCCTAAACGTTATATGGGATTCACATACTAACCACGCGCTTGCTTGCATGCAGAATAGCAGGGTATCGGAGAGCGAAGACAGAATTCAAAGCAGAAACATATGAAACATATTTTTCTCTTTTTTTTTCTCAACGATTCGGAGGCGCCCCCCGAGGTCTGGCGCCTGGAGCGCTCGCTCAGTTCGCCTTATGGTAGGGCCGGCCCTGAATGATCCTATTAATTGATTTGGCTTCCCACCGCTTGACATTTAAAATCGACCAATAGGTTCATCATGCGCTTTCCGCAATGCGCGATTCGCAAGTACCTACAGGGTGTCCCAGCCGAAAGTGAACCATTTTGAATGGTTATAACTTTTAAATTAGGTGTGCTAGCTACCTGCGGTTTGCGCCATTCGATTTCTCTTGGTGTAAAGTTTTTTACCTACAAGCGTGCGGTAAAGTGGACTTTACCGCACGTATTTGCACATGGAAAGTATCACTTTACCACACACTATGCGGTAAAGTGCACTTTACCGCATAGTGTGCGGTAAAGTTAACTTTACAGCATAGTATGCGGTAAAGTGGACTACAAAGTGTGCGGTAAAGTGCACTTTACCGCACACTGTGCGGTAAAGTAAAATTTGATATTTTTAATCAGAAATCCTCTCTTTTTCAGAAAATGGATTTTTGATCATTTCTACATCTAATCTAATTTCATTAATTAATCTGATTCAATATTTAATTTTATCAATGCCTTTTTTTAGAGATGTAGATGCTCATAGGTAAAATTTTGTACCTAACACATGCGGAAAGTGCCTTTACCGCCCTTAACGGCTTGACCGAACTCCGCTCCGCGTCGTTCGGTCAACTGCCGTTGCGTGCGGTAAAGTATCACTTTCCGCATTTGTTAGGTAAATAACTATTCTAGTAGGTTGCTAATTTTTTTGAAACTTATACAGGACAAGTGAAAAAAAATCAGTTTTTCAACATCAAAATTCTCCACTATTTTTAATGGAACACCCTGTATATCAAGACGTCAAAAAAAATATTAATATTCAAGGTATCCATGTACCAACATGGCAGACATCGTCCCTAAAACTTTAAGTTTTAGAGGTAAAAAATCAAAATCGAAATCTGGGTATTTTTGCAAACCCATACAACTTCATGTTGTAGGTACTTGATATCACTATGAAAAAGAATTTTGTAACTGTCTAGTAACATATCAATAGGGTTAAAATGCAATTTGCAAGACAATTTTACGAGTTCCTGAGTATTTTCTCTGAAACTCGTCAAAAAGAGATACCCCAAAAGTAAGTTTGGTGTGCAATCTCTATTAAGGAAAAATACAGACCATTTCCATTATTGAACCAACGATAACAGAAATTGTATACACTGATATGTTCTTTTTTCCACAGTTAAGACAGGAGGGTATCTTGGATGATATCTATTTCCAGCAGGATGGTGGATTATTCTTTAATAGCAAGGAAATCACTAGATATGACATTTGGGGAAAGACGGATATGGAGGTCTTAGAATATGAACACCTTACTCTCCTGACTTGAGAGTTCCAGACTTTTTTCTCTGGAGTTATGACAAGAAAAGATGTTGTAATCCTTTGCTCAAATAGCCTGAAAGATCTTAAGCGGAACATTTGTAATGTCATTGAAGCGATTCCCCAGGAAATGTTGACACAAGTCATTCACCCATTTGCTGATCCTTAAATGCCTGGTACAGAATGGCTAACATATACATATACAGCATTTTGTATAGTTTTATGCGGTTTTTCTTAACTTTTTATTGTGAAAACATAAGTTCCAAGTTTTGTAAATATGCGTTTGCAAAATACCAAGATTTCGATTTTGATATTTCACGGCTAAAACTTCAAGTTGGCCAATGAAAATGAAAGAATTTCAAAATTTAGAACAGTTGTTCGAAAGATAAGACACTGCGCAGGCGTTAGGCTGTTCCGTTGCACAACTGTTCGTAGAATATTGACCCCAAATTTTCGCACAAATGTTGCCAATCAAGCCCTATGAATTGTTTATCCATTTATTTTTTAGATCAGTGCTCTCGGTCGGCAACACGTCACGTGACCGCGTAGGGCCGAAAGCGTACACCCAACGGCGCATGGCCGCATTGTACAAACAGTCGAACAAGTTCAATTTTGTTTCTGACATCGACGCAACGTATTTGATTAAGGTATTTTATTATTTAAGTCATATACACGTCAAACTTCCTGAGTCCTTATTCTTGAAACAGGGGAGCAGCGTTCCCAGGAGAACGAGTGTTCCGTGTTTTGTTACTTATACTATCAGCTGCATATCATTGAGGAATAAGGAACACTCGTTCTCCTGAGAACGCTGCTCCAATAAGGTCCCTTGAGCGGCTTTATAAAACCAAGCTGGACAATTTTTTTCATATCTTCAATCTGAGCGTTGGAACATTTTCGCGCTGGCTCTTCGTAAAGTTGTCGTTCTGACGTCCCTAAGGAAGGTGATACATGTACAGCCCGTTGTTTTCAATCTGATACCCCAAAGGAATGTGAGGTGGCTCCCTACGTCCTACGTTAGAACGCCAATGATCATCTGACGTCACACCTGTTTTTGCTTAATGCTTCACCCCCTCGCTCCTGAGTCCTCATACGGAAAGTGTCAGATTAAAAACGACGGACAATACGCAATACGTGTAGTTTCAATTCCAATCGAGTGTTTTCTATATTACAGTATACCGGGTGCCCACGAGATTACTTTCCGGCTGCCATTTTTTTATTTGTTCATTGATATCAAAGAAACTTGGTAGGCTTGATATTCTAACGAAATGCCATTTTTGTGCATTCATGACAAGTTTTCCTGACTTCCGGTTTCACCGGAAATTACCGAAACTTTCGATTTTCAAATGACACACCCTGTATATTTTTTGTTTTTTAGATTCTACAGATCGTTTTACGTCCTAATGTACCACTTTTAAATCGAACTTTGTCCAAATTTCGTTTTCAAATTAAATTTTAAGTAGAAAAAAAATAATAACCTACATAAGAAAACAAAAATATTTGAACGAACATTAAGAAAAATGTCGTAGTGTATTATATCGTTGGATTCGCTTCAAAATACTACATTTAATGATGTTATGAAAGTGATATGTTCCTATTTTAGTTTTTGAGCTAGGGCAAAAATACTAAAATAATGAAGTACAGCCCTCTATCAAAAAAGTTTACAAAGATAAAATTCAGTTTGAATTTTTCTGAAATTAAGTAAAGTGTGTAGAGTCATTTTAGGATGATCATGGCACTCTAGTTAAAAAATTAAAATTTAATTTAAAAACAAAATTTGGACAAAACTTAATTCAAAAGTGGTGCATTAGGTAGTGAAACGATCTGTAGAATCCGAAAAACAGAAAATCTACAGGGTGTGCCATTTAAAAATTTAAAGTTCCGGTCATAAATCCGGAATAAAACAAACTTTGTGTCATTGATTTCTTATTAGGTGGTTCCTCTGAAATGAAAAACAACTGTTGAGTCACATTTACTGTAAAATAAATATGTGTGACAATTAAAACATTTCTATCTGGTCATTACCTTGACATAATTCGCTATCGCTTTGTCCTTCAATTCCACCAGATTCTGTACGAACCACTGTCACAAGAGAATTTGCTTTTTTTAAAGAATCTAAAATAAGAGGCAAAACGACTGCATCATTGCAGATCTCTAAACTAAATTGCAATTCGTTTAGTTTGTTCCTTATTTCCTCTCTAATATCTTCGGTATTATAATTATTATTGTCTTCAATTTCTTCTTCTATCACTGCATCAGGAATCTGTAACAATTGTTCATAAAAATAAACGGGCAACTCAGGTAATAATTTAAAAAACGAGTAAATATTCAATATTTTCAGTATAGATAAGAATAACAGTACAATTCACAGTAATATTTTTATAATCTGATAATTTTTTATTGTAGCACTTAGACAAGGCATAAATGCCTGCATGTGCCACATTTAATGGTATAAGTAGTTAGTAATGATAATGAATAAATGGGTATCATGGTATAATATACGTCATAGGTTTTGGGATATCAGAGGCTCGTAAAATCTAAAATAAAAAATAAGGATCTGTATTCAAAAAAATAAAGTTGATGATAGCCGCCCAAAGACGAAACGTCAAATCTAAAATTTGACAACATCTTGTAAGGGGGAAAGTCACAATGATGAAGTTACATTTATTTTAAAATTGCTCTTCAAATAGACTCAGGAAAAAATAAGAATGATTTTGCAAAAATTTGGTTTTTCCGAATATCCCCGGAAGTATTCGGAATTTTTAAAATTTCAAAACGGAACTGACCTCATATCTCTTATAGTTTCCGATATCTCAATGGTCACCCTCGAATTTGGGACACCCTGTGCTCCTAATTAATATTAATGATGAAAAAACTTCAATTGCAAGTATTTTTATCAGGGAGGTAAGTATCGCTTTTACTCTCACTAAAACAATAGTCTATTTCCAAGATTTTGACAAGCTGTCATTTTGTTACGGATGGAAATAATAAACCGAAATTCTAGGGCCATAAAGAATTCGATGAGACCTTTTAAAAGGGGTATGACACGACCCCTATCCCATATTCAAATTTGGGGGGTTGTTCTCCCTCTGAAGCTACTGGGATGAAAAATGTTTCCCCCGCAAATCAAAAATCGACGTGTCCGAGCGTTTCTCATTCCAAATACAATAAATCGGGGTGGACTGTCTTCCCTGGGACACCCTGTATAGCCATAATTTATTCCTGTAAATTCCAGAAGAACTGCGATTGACCTTGTTCCCGAACATCAACGTAAAATTGAATCCGCTATCCAATTCTGTACAGGATTCTTGACACACTGGCGGCTGTTACAGTATTTTAAATTGCAATAATAATGTATTATTTAAGAAGGTTTTAATTGTAAATTTTAAGCTACTTTGTGAAATCTTTTTTTAAAAATGAAATGTACTGCTATTTTTTGACATGTGTAAACACATAAGTGTAAATGGCACGAAATAAATGATTTTATTTGATTTATGCGACTCAAACAATATCAGCATGAATCAGGAATTCTCAAACTAATGGATCAAAATTAATTCCTTTTCTTAAGTAACTTACCACAGTGTTAATATATTCACATGGAGCCCCGTTTTTTCCTTTGAAGAACTTTATTTTAATATTTCTAATATCCTTTTTCGTTATAAAATCAGACCTGACCACATTTTCGTCAATTTGATCTTTTCTGTACATATTGAAAACCCTAAAAAATACATGTTACTTAATTTTTTTTAGTTGCGATAATCACTTACTCATTTTCTGATAACCCTTTTGCCAAATAAGAAGCCACTTCTAAACGCTTCTGATTACTTAGGGTGAGATGTTGTAGTTCGGTTGAGTGACCATAATGAGTTTTGTAATAAGTCACAAAGTATGTATTATCGCTATTCTTTTTCAAAATGATTTGACTCACACAGTTGATGCCCAATTTACAAGAGCCTTGGCTTTTTACCTTTCTCTGTCTGTTTACAGATTTGACTATGACTTTTCCTAAAAATTGTCTCAATTAGAATAAAAAACTGATAATCACATAGCAATACTCGCCTGATCGATAGCAATTGAAATAAGTTAAGTTTTTCTTTGTTTCCTCTCTTCGGAAGTATTGTAAATTATTTTTTTCACAAGTATCACTAAACCAGATCTCAAATTCTGCAATTGAATAAAAAGTAATCGTTTTACATATTTCTTATAAAAAAAACTCACCCTCTTTAGTCGAAAAGTGCCACTCTTCTTTTTCAATTTTCCAATTGTGAAACGTCTCCAAATGGCATCTCAGATGTGAGATTTGCCTGTAAGAAGTGCGGCAGTCTTCTTCTAGACATTTATTATTGAATTCTTCAAAGTTAGCGGCAAAAGGTTTTTTTTCGTGGATCATATGAATGGTTTTTTGATGTTTAGTTAGGCTACCTTGAGACGCAAAGAGTTTTGAACACAAATAACAGCAAAAATATACCTTTTCTGAATCGGACATATTTGGTGTGGTAGCAGGGACCTTTTTACTTATTATTAATAGGCGGTTACACACGTCGGTGTGTAACCGCCTAATAAGGAATGTAAAAAAATAAATCTCCCATTTACCATCAACAACACAACAATAACAAAAAAAAGACAAATTTTAAGGTTATGGATGATGATGACAGGACAGACTGACAGAGGGATGACGTTATGATGACTTAAAAGGAGTGCGTTTGAAATCACTCTGGACGTCACACCGGGTGCACACCAGGGTTGCGTTTAGAAATAGCACTCTGGGTGTGAGAGTGACTTTAGAGTAACTCTAAACCGTTCATAAATTAACAGGTGCTTACACGGAGCGTTACGCTGGAATCGTTCAGATATCGAGAGTTGACGTGCCCAGAGTGCGCCCAAATTACCCCACTCAGGGACTGGGTTCATAAACGCCCCCGTGGTTTTTAACGGGTTTGACGTTGACATTTAGCGCAACACCCCGATTACGTTCAGAAACAGAGCACCCAGAGTGCACTCCAAGTGATGACGTCAGAGCACTCTGACAAACAACTACTCTACCTTCATCCTCCATTTCTAAACGCACTCCAGCTGTTCGAAAATGAATTGGTATAAACTCCGGAAGAACCAACTCTGCCGCTAAGTAAATTTTAGTCCTGTCATTTTTGTTAGTTTTTCATTAGGTTAGTTCGGCTTGGCAACTCTTTTAACTCCTTTGACCCTTTTCACTGCAAAATCGTTCGGGTCACGCCACTGGGTGCAAATAGTGCAAGCTCCTCATCGTTCGGGTACAGCCAAGTAAAGCGAAAAGAGTTAACTCCACAAGCACCACCTCGAGAGATGAAGCTCGAGGAGCGGGAATGCGCACTTCCTATATTTCCAAAAGGCGGTAAAATCATATGGTAAAATTTAAGTTTTCGATAATTCACTGTCCTAACGATCGTTGCCTCTGGGGATCCTGGTAGAAAAAATGGCTTCGTTCCACAAAATATCCGCAAAAACACATGTTCCGGTTTGTGATGGAAATAATCTCATTCCGCCCACGGCATTCGCGGCCGGCGGCTACCCTGCTCCCTGCGATGCGTTCGGCTTAACCACTTTACTCTTTTCGCTCTGTGATCACGTGACTATAAAACTGCTCTTTATCCGCTCCAACTCCGTTTTGCCAAGCCGAACTCACCTATTATAGGCCTATTCGGGTTTGAAAAAAGGATGGTTCTTGAACGTTCAAAGTAATCGCACATTTTATTACTGAAATTTGTGATAGCCATAAGCTGAGCCATTGTCATTTTATTGGTTGATAAACTGTGCGATTGTTTTCAACCGTTCTAGAATCGTTTTTTTTTCAAACCCGAGTAGATCCATACATGTTTGTAAATTATTATATACAATTATTATGTGAAACCAAACGAACAAACTGCCTAAACAAAGAGTTTCGCAAATATATTAGGCGATTTCGGCAAGCTTTGGTTGGTATACCATTTGGTTAACCAATTGGTACCTGCAACGTCATAGAAATGACGTAGGATACCATTTTGTTCCGAATTCGTTTGGTAGGTCATGAGAGAGGGGAAGAGACAAGCCTTAACCTAACTTTTTGTTGTTCTTCTAGTTTTGGGAGTGACTAGGTACTGACTATGCACTGACTAAAATCTATAATCACTAATCAGCACTGTCTAGACAGTACCTTTGAGTAACCTATTGGCTAAAGCCTAGTACTCATAACTGCGAAATTCGCATTTTTTTGATATTGCGTTGACAATTTGACGATTTATGCGTGTATCAAACGTCAAATTGTCGAAGCAATGTCAAAAAAATGCGAATTTCGCAGTTATGAATACTAGGCTTAACTCAGCGTTTTCTGTATATGTAAAGCTCATTCCATAATCCACGCAGTAAAAAAGTTACCCCCATATCTGTCGTTCAAAGCTATTTTTCAAAGGATCGTTAAACATTATTTGGCAGTCAAAACATACGAGAAAATAGGAGGATGAAGGCGAAAAAACAAACATATTTGTTAAAAATTTCAAATTATTCAAATTCTAATGAACTTCCATTTGTTTACATTTTCTAGAGCAGGACAAAACGAAAATAGACGTAGATAGCTCTATACCAAATGAGAACCGTGCTGCTGACCACGGTATCTTATTTGACAGACCAAAAAGGATACCCAAGTCACGATGACGACATCATTTCCGTATCCGAAATTGGTTGGTATGCATTTGACAGTCTGTCAGACCAAACAGGGTACCAAATCATGTACCAAAGCTTGCCGAAATCGCCTATTAGTTAGTTGCACTACAGTAGGTCGGCAACATGTGTATGGCCGACCAAATGTTAATTTTTCAATATTCGCCTTACTCAATCGTTTGGTGGTCGTTTGGTGGTCTTTGGTATCCCACTTTTAGTATTTGGTGGTAATTACTTAGGCAGTAATTAACAATTAAAAATTTCATATGACGTTGGCCGACATAACCTGATTCTAATTTATTTTTTGGCCCATTTATAGTCAAATCGAACGGAAATCGTTTGGTGGTCACGAATTTACCGAATTTAACGTTTGGTAGTCAATAATACCGGAGATATTAATCAATTAAGATTGTTTTCTGATATATTCTAATTATTCGTCGCGCATGCGCATATATTATCTGTTTTTCATTGAGCCGCCCCGATCGCCGCGTTGCCTACCTATTCTATAATTTTCAATCAAATCAATTATTTCATTACAATCAACGAATAATTAGGTAGGTAAACTCCAGTTAATTTCATTTTTGCTATTGTGGCGACCACTGACCACGACAACGACAATCCAGTAATCTAGTATCCAGTACAAGCAGAGTCCGCGACTCGCGAGTTGACACGCCACCGGCCCACCGCCAGTTCCGGATCGCAACGGCAACGCCGCGATCGAGGCGGCTCAATGAAAAACAGATAATATATGCGCATGCGCGACGATTAATTAAAATATATCAGAAAACAATCTTAATTGATTAATTACTCCGGTATTATTGACTAACAAACGCTAAATTCGGTAAATTCGTGACCACCAAACGATTTCCGTTCGATTTGACTATAAATGGGCCAAAAAATAAATTAGAATCAGGTTATGTCGGCCAACGTCATATGAAATTTTTAATTGTTAATTACTGCCTAAGTAATTACCACCAAATTTTAAAAGTGCGATACCAAAGACCACCAAACGACCACCAAACGATTGAGTATGGCGAATATTGAAAAATTAACATTTGGTCGGCCAAATACATGTTGCCCAGTAGGTCTTAAGCCTAGTACTCATAACTGCGAAATTCGCATTTTTTTGACATTGCTTCGATAACTTGACGTTTAATTCACGCATAAAACGTCAAATTGTCGAAGCAATGTCAAAAAAGTGCGAATTTAGCAGTTATGAGTACAAAGCTTTAGGGGGGATTTTCATGCATCCGTTTTTCCGACGAAATATTGAAATATGTCCGTTTAACATTCTATTCTGACATAATCGTATATAAATATGTCAAAATAGAAGACTTTTCGGACATATTTCGACGGAAAAACGGATGCATGAAAATCCTCCCTTAAGCTGAGGTGCTTTCCAGTGACCCATTTGAGTTACTCCTGAGCAACTCAGGAGTGCTCCGCAATTACTTTGCGCATTCCAGTGCTTAGAGTGTCGTACACTTGAACTACTCATTTCTGTTATCCCCTGCCCCCTCGTGCACCAACCTTTATTTAGGTGTTTCATGCTGCTGAAGTGCGAAATGGTGGGGGTCAAGACAAGAGCGTTCCAGTGCTGCTTATGTCGAACAGTTCAAGAGCGACACACTCCAGGAGCATGATACTCTAACAATTTAGGCGCTGGAAAGCAGGTCTGGGGTGCGTTCAAGGACGGCAATGCTAATGCCAAAACCTACTTCTCCCCCTCCACCGGTAATGCTGAACCACGTAGTTTGGAGCCGAACTCGAACGCAAAATGCCAATTTTAGCTTGGCTGTAGCCAATCCTGAACGCAGCCCAGGGCTTCGTTTTTTCAGAATCGTAATCGAACTGTGTTGACAGGTTTATCTAGAACTATTTAGGAACAAGTCTGGAATTGTTCTCGAATGGTTCTCGTAGTACTTGCTCTGAAGGAGGAATTGTTCTAGAATTTTGTGATTTGCGACGTGTTTTAGTTCTTTTTTATTCCAAATCGGTTTAGAACTAGTATCAGAACAGTCCTCTATTATTTTTTGTGCGCGAGCAGTTCTGCGCAATCCCAGAACCGTTTCAAAGCTTGTAAGAACTAAAAACCCGTTCTAAAATAATCCCAGAATTGTTCTTATGTAGTTCTATATAAACCAAAACGCTGTCAACACAGTTCGATTACGATTCTGAAAAAACGAAAACGCGTTTTATATCATGCGCAAGTGCAGAATGATTCCGAACTAGTTCTGAGTGAAACCAAAACCAAGCTAATGTTTTGGTTTATCTAGAACCATTTAAGAACAATTCTGGGATTGTTCTAGAACGGTTCTCTCAGTTCTTGCTCTGAAGGAGGAACTGTTTTAGAATTTTGTGATTTGCGGCTGTTTTGGTTTTTTTGGTCCGGAATCGGTTCAGAGCTACTATTAAAACAGTCCTCTATTATTTTTTGTGCGCTTGCAGTTCTCCGCAATCCCAGAACCGTTCCAAGTATCGAACCAAAATAAAGCTACTAGCTTTGTTTTGATTTTACTAAGAACTAGTTCGGAATCACTCTGCACATGCGCATATAATAAAACGCGTTTTCGTTTTTTCAGAATCGTAATCGAACTGTGTTGACAGTGTTTTGGTTTATCTAGAACTATTCAAGAACAATTCTAGGATAGTTCTAGAACGGTTTTCTCGGTTCTTGCTCTGAAGGAGGAACTGTTTTAGAATTTTTTTGGTTTGCAGCGTGTTTTGGTTTTTTTGGTTCCGAATCGGTTCAGAACTAGTATTAGAACAGTCCTCGATTATTTTTTGCGCGCAAGTAGTTCTGCGCAATCTCAGAACCGTTCCATATTTCGAACCAAAACAAAGCTATATTGTCAACACAATTCGATTACGATTCTGAAAAAACGAAAACGCGTTTTATAATATGCGCATGTGCAGAATAATCCCGATCTAGTTCTGAGTGAAACCAAAACAAACCTAATATTATCTATTAGAAAGTTCAAGTCAGAACTAGTTCGCAATCATTCTGCACATGCGCATGTTATAAAAAGCGTGTTCGTTTTTTGAAAATCGTAATCAATCTTGTTGACGGCATTTTGGATTATTTAGAACCATATAAGAACAATTCCGGGATTGTTCCAGAACGGTTCTCTTAGTTCTTGCTCTGAGGAACTGTCTTGAAATAGTTGTATTCCTTTCACATCTAAGAGAAACTCCGGAATAGCTCCGGGGCGTTACGCGCTTATTCCTTTCGAAAAGTGTTTGTTCCACCACGCATCTCATCCTTTCAAATCGAGTGCGATTAACACCGGAGCGAGTAGCTCCAGTGTTCTAAACTCTTGAAAGGAATAAACTAATTTTGTAATTTGCGACTTGTTTTGGTTTTTTTGATTCAGAATCGGTTCAGAACTAGTAATAGAACAGTCAAGCAGTTCTGCGCAATCTCAGATCCGATCCAAATTTCGAACCAAAACAAAACTATTTATATATAAAAATAATGTCTGAATAGAAGGTTTTTCGGACATCGGACGTCGGAAAACGGACGCATGAGACTTCGGCTTATTTACTGCAAACTGCAAATGTACTACTCCTTTCAGCAGGGACCCGGACAGAAAGGAAATAGTTGTATTCCTTTTAAGTGTTTGGAACACTAGAGTTACTCGCTCTGGTGTAAGTCGATCCCTATTTTCCCGATATTTAAAGGAACAGATGCGCTGGCTTTCGTGCATTTTAATATATGTTTCGTATATAGACAATTAGGCTGTTCATTTGTACTCACTACCTGCTCGAAAAATCAGGAAGATCTGCTAGGAGCTGCTATTTATGAGCTTATTATATGGGAGTTATGGGACAAGTGAACGCCGATCAGCTGCCGAGATCTGCTTGAAGCAAGAAAAGCAGTACAAATGAACGGCCTATTTTTCACGCACCTGTCGGTAAGAAGCGATTGCGACGTTGGTTATTTTGGTGACAGACAAGTATCAGCTCTCAGGAAAACCATGTTCCGTAAGTTGACACTTTTTCAGGAACTGATATATTTGGGACACCAAACCAAGAAGCTGGTTGAATTATATACAGAACATATACCTACTAAATCGTTTGAGTTCGGGCTTGAGCACTTCAGGTGCTACAAACACTTTTCGAAAGGAATAAGCGCGTAACGCCCCGGAGCTGTTCCAGATCTCCTCTCAGGTGTGAAAGGAATACAACTAATGGCTCCGATCAAGTTCGAAAAATGATGGTGCAGTTAGCAGATTCGATCGCGCGATGGGTCAGTGCGAATTTTCAAAAAAAGTGAACTACCTTCGTGAAAATCCTGGTTGAAGCGTTCGTGTGTGTCCCATTATCATTCAAATAGTTTTGGTTGCGAATCTTCGGTCTCTTTTTAGGAAAACTAAAAGTCATGAGTAATTCATCAGTACTGAGCTACTGCTACTATACTACTTGATGATAGTTGTATCGAGTGTTTCAAACTCTTGAAAGGAATACAACTGATAATACATCTGTAGCTGATAATAACAACAATTTCTTTTTTTATTTATTCATATTTTACAAACTTTTTTGTAAACAAACCTCATAAGGCCTGTGTAGGCCACCATGCCAAAGCACCAGTTATGACGTAAGCAGCATGTCATTTCTCGCCTTGTGTTTGCAGGGGGGTTTTTGCACCACACGTTAAGCCAGAGACACATCTATCATGCATTCTTCCGATCCGACTCCGATCATACAATCAAGGTCCTTATTCTTGGAACAGGGTAGCAGCGGAACACTCGTTCTCCTGGGAACGCTACTCTCTGTTCCAAGAATAAGGACCCTGATTGTATGATCGGAGCCGGATCGGAAGAATGCATGATAGATGTGTCCCGGGCTTTATGATTACCCCTACTTTTGCTTTATGCATAATGCATACTGGGTTTTACTACATTCAATAAACATTCTAAAACAACTCTTTTTTTAGATTTCGTTTTCATCTTCCTCTTTGTCTATTTTGATAATCAAAATTCAGAATTAAATAATTACTACGTTTTCATGGAATTTTGAAATCGTTTTGAATGCGGTTTTGAAACGCCATGAAAACAGGTACTGAAATCGATTTCAGTTTCAAGGGATCGTTTTACCTTTTTTTGGGATCGTATCGAGATTCAAATTCAGAAACTTGCAAATCGATCTCAATTCTAATTTTGCCTCTGCATGAAAACGGGGAAGAGAATTGGATTTAAAAACTATTTGAAAACTCCATGAAAACGTTGTAAATATATTTCATAATAAATGTATTTTCTAAACACGACCGTTGGCGCAAACAGCTAACGACTCAGTTAATGACATCGAAAATGGTGCCACACCAATATCGCGGCGATTACCAAAAACGACCCCGATAAGCAATCCTTAGTAGTGTGTATTATCCTTGTTGTTCTTGCACAAGGTTATGATTGCGCTGATTTTTGCTTTTTATGCAAATAAAACGCCACCGTTGATGACGTCGCCAACGGTGCAACACCATATAGACTTGGTTCCAAAAATTGAGGCCGATGATGAGCAATCCTAACCTAAAGTAGTGTGTAATATTCTTGGTGTGACCTAACCAAGTTCAGAAATGCGCGCTTTCGAACGCTCCGTTTTTTAGGGTTTCAAATTTATTACCGATCTAGTGTTAAATTCTCGAGAATATAAAAAAAAAAAGAAATATTCTCTGGAAATATTCCCGACACCTTGAGAATTTATAGGAAATATTGGAAATTTATGAAATTTATTAAAATATTCAGAGATTTGGAAAAATTTCGGACATATAAGATATTATGCTCGTTGAAGAATTTACTATTATATGAATTTTATGTAAGAAATAGCTATTTACCTAACAAGTACGGAAAAATATTTTTCCTACGAGCGTGCGCAAAGTAGTACTTTTCCGCACGCATTTCCGGGCTCAAAGTTACACTTTTCCGCACTCAGTGCGGATACAGGCCTTATCCGCACTGAGTGCCGAAAAGTAATTATAATTGTCAAGCAACAATAAGTGCACCTGTCGACTTTGACACATGACACATGTTGACAAATTTTTCATCTGTTTCTATATCGGCCAACATCTATACAAACACCAAATATGAATTAACTTTGACACATTGTCAGATTTATTCTCTATTTATATGCAAAAATCTACAAACTTTCTCATCAAATTTAAACGCTTTAAGATGAACAGCTCTGACGAGAATTTTCTGTTATTTTTTTTTGTTATGTAATTTTTTGATAAATGCATAGGTTCCTTTCAAGTTAATTAAAATTAATTAAACAAATTATCGTTTTTTTTTTTAAATTTTTGTTATTACCTACCTGATATGAAGCTCGTAGGAAAAATTTTGTTCCTAACACGTGCGCAAAGTGTCTTTTCCGCACGCAAACACGTATCCAAACTCCGCTTCGCGTCGTTCGTATAACTGTGCTTGCGTGCGGAAAAGTAACACTTTGCGCACTTGTTAGGAAAATAACTATTTCCTACGAGCGTGCGCAAAGAAGTACTTTTCCGCACGCATTCCAGGGCTCAAAGTTACACTTTTCCGCACTCAGTGCGGATACAGGCCTTATCCGCACTGAGTGCCGAAAAGTAAAAATACTTGTCAAGCAACAATAAGTGCACCTGTCGACTTTGACACATGATGACAAATTTTTTCTAGGTTTCTATATCAGCCAACATCAATACAAACACCAAATATAAATTAACCTTGACACATTGTCAGATTTGTTCTCTATTTATATGCAAGAATCTACAAACTTTATCATCAAATTTAAATGCTTTAAGATGAACAGCTCTGACGAGGATTTTCTGTTATTTTTTTTATTAGGTAATTTTTTGATAAATGTATAGGTTCGCTTCAAGTTAATTAAAAATAATTGAACAAATTATGGGTTTAAAAAAAAAAAAAAATCTTGTTACCTACCTGATATGAAGCTCGTAGGAAAAATGTTGTTCCTAACACGTGCGCAAAGTGTCTTTTCCGCACGCAAACACGTATCCGAACTCCGCTTCGCGTCGTTCGTATAACTGTGTTTGCGTGCGGAAAAGTGACACTTTGCGCACTTGTTAGGAAAATAACTATACAGGCATAAAAATGTATTTTTTTTTTTGACATCAGAGTGGTAAAATTTTTCCCACAATAACAGCCGTGCGGGAAAACTCATTTTCCGCACGCATATCAGTGCGGAAATTCGATTTTTTCGCACGGCTGTAGGAAATAACTATTATCGTTTATATATATTATTATATAGTCAGTCGTATGAATAAAGTATACCAAATGCTTTTACTCTACCTCTGTCTCTTTTTGCTGCATTAAAGCTGAATATGTTTATCTCAAAAAAACTTAAGGAAAAGCATTTGCTTGTGTTTTATTCATATGAGCCAATATGTATGTATGTACAGGGTATTTGATTATATCTAAACCCATACCTATAGCCTTTAATATTTAAAATTAATCAGGAAGAAAAGATCTCTCAATTCTCACATAATATACAGAGTGTCCCATTAAAAAAAATTGAAGTTGTCAAAGTTTTTCAATTTTTTGATGCGATTTTGTTTTTTGTCACAACATTAAAAGAAAATATAGAAAAAAAAAACTGTCCTTCTCTTCCAAGCTTTGTATTTAAAATTTTTTTCTATCTCAAATAGTCAAGGCTGTAAATATAGGCTATAATATAATCAAATACCCTGTACCTAAATTTCTTGAATTATTTTATTTACATAAAAAAATAACTTAAATGTTAACTTTGGTAGTATGGCTGCCATGGAAGTGATGTAAATGTTATGAGTACTTTTGTATAACATTTAGGTTAAATCGAGGGTTAAATTTGACCTTATTGTAACTTCCTACCTTCCTCCTGAAGAAACTAGTCGATTGTTTGTAGATGTATCCTAAATAAAGAACTTTAAACATGAATAATTTGATGGTTTGAATTCTCAGTTTTCTCAGAAGAAAACAAATACTTTTTAAAAGAAGACCTAAAATATTTAGCTAATAACCAAATAAGCAGCCCTAGAAATTGATATCCCTGAAATAATTCCAAATAATAAATTAAACAATAACACAAATTAAAAAAAAAAAAAAATTTATTAACTACTAATGAAGTTGCATCTTGAATTGTCATCAAAGTATAGTGGGGCATCAACGGAATCTTCTTTATTGAGGCTTATAAACTAACTTTTATGCATAATGAACAAAAAATTTGAAACAAAATGTTTTTTTGAAATATCAGAAAACAATCAAGAGAAAATTGAGCTCCTATAGAATTCAAAAACAAAACTTGAATATTGAATTTTAAGAAAAAAATTAGATGTTTTTTAACAAAATGATTTAATACAACAATATCATGTGACTGATTAATCTTGAAAAATTAAAAAAAAAGAGTTTTTAACAGCTTAAGAAGGTACAAAATGAACTGATTCAATTCTACTGTTATTCTTATTTATATATAGTAAATATGCTGCTTAAAGAAGGCATAATATAGCTGTAATGTAATGTTTATTACAATATAACTCATTCCTCAAGTGTAGTTCATATAAATGCGAATCCCGAATTGCGTATGTGAATTTAGTTGTGGAAAAATCGGAGTTTTTCAGTCCTTACATAGATACAAGCTTTTATTACATACATCTCACTATTAGTCCAAAAAATGAGACTGAAAAAAAAAATTGAAACTATGGCAAAGCACAACATACTACAAGAGTTACAAAGGCAAAATGAAATGGCGAAAAGCAAACAACTGAAGGAACAGAGGACAAACACATTTTTGGAATATGCATGCACTGACATAAAATTCACAACAAAAATCGCAAAAAATTAAACCACTTTCAATTTTCCCGCTACCTTAATTTCAAATTTTGCGAATTTGCAAAATATGTATTGAACTCTCATAGATGGCTCTTTTCTTGACAATAGACCATCCAATAACAGTGGTCTCCACAATTCACAATTCGTTATTCGCATCTAAAAGAAATACACTATTCGTGAAAATTACCAAGATATAGTCTATAGGGGTGAACAATAATGAAATGGCATAAGCTTTTGTTTTGTGTTATGTTAAAATGCCAAAAATTGTTGTTACTCTCAATATTATGTCTGAGGGATTTTCTGACTAGGAATTGCCAGTTTTTTCAAACGCCTCCTTTGATTAGTTGCTGAAAATATATTGAATTAAATCTTTCATCTTTATATGCATTATTTTGTTGGTACCAGGAGTGAAATCGGCATCTGTAAAATGCAGACTACAAACTTGCATATATTTAGTAATTGGCTTTCCAATTTTCAATGTAGTTTGCCAAGCCCTACATTTATTTTTATCCTTTGGAAATGAATGTAGTGAAATGTTTTGGGTGCAGTATGAAGAGCACTGAAAAACTGAACAAATTCTCCTGGATCTGGTGATTACAGATTTGCGCAAAGACTGCATGTTATAACACCTAAAACTTTATTCACTTTTTACAAATTTGAACAAAATAAAACAACTCAACTAGATAGAGTCTATTTTTGTTCAGAGAGGCAGTGACAATTTTAAGAATAATTAAAATTTTAAGTTATCGCTATAGGTTGTTACTGTGTCTTTTAGAAAAAATAGACACTATTGAAAATTCCATCCTAAAAACACTGCATTTTTGTTCACCCCTATTTGAAATTCACAGATTTGGTATACAAAAACAATTAACATTCATTCAAACAGAACACACAAAATTATATTTAACTCTTTTTACCTGTTGTAGCTGGATTCAAATCAAAAAAACCAAAGGCAAGAGTATGTTAGTAAAAGCCATAAAAATGACATTTCCATCACAATCTTTGAAACAAAATTGATGAGGTTGCAATATTTCGAGCAACATTTGAAGCATCAATTAAAGAAAATTGACACAAAAAAAAATGTTGCCCAATTAAAATCCCAGTAGAAATTCAAAGTTGGAAACAATTGAAATCTTTGGAACAATGAAAACACCTTAACAGCAAAATAGTGTTAAGGAAATCAATGAAATGCATTGTTTAAAAATTAAACAATAACAACAACTTAGTGAATCACAGTAGTACACCACACCATTATTAAACAATAATACTACAATAACATAACAATGAACATGGAATATCAAAAAATGTAAATTTCCAAACGAATATTTTTGGAAAAATCCCAATATGAAATAATTTAAGTTTACAATTAGTTCAAATATTCCACGTTGCTTATAGATTGTCTGGACATACAAATCAACAGGGCAAAATGGGTCACTTTCACATTTTTTAAATTGTTGTTAGTCATTCTAAATTTAAAAAAAAAACGCCTATTTTTGGAAATAAAAACGATTCGAAAATCGAAATTTTAAACTGTTGTGAAAACGTGGGCTTGGAAAGTGATATCACTTTCTGGAAAATGCGAGGTTGCCGAATTTCTCATAAGTAGGTAAATCATTACACAACTCACTCCCTAGAGACTATTTTCATCCTGTACTACATTGTTAAAAAATAAAGCATAGGTTTAATCTTTGAACCAATTTAAATTTCGTATTTTTAAATATGACAACAATATCAGCTTTAGCCTAAAGCCTTTAGCCAAAGAGACTGCGTTTTCAGTCATGTGATTTTTTGTTCAAATTTCCTATATGTATTCAATAAATTATTTAATAATCTGACCAAAATCTTGCATAATATTGTTCATTCTCGGGTGCATCCATTGGGACTGGATTGTTAGGTCAAAAAAGATTTGCCCAGATACCCTTAGCACATTTAGGTAATGAATACAAGAAAATTGACACAAAAGCCAGTAGAAAAATAAACGAACATCTTGAAAATGCCACCAAAAGTAAAGTAATAGTGACACAAAAAAATGTAGCCCATTTTTCTCAAGTAAGACTTTCGTGCAGACAGTTATAATTTAAAAAAATAACCAGGCAAAAATTTTATTGCTCTAACGACTCGAGAAAAAAAAAAGAAAAAAAAATACAGTAATTTATAGAAACTGGTTTGACTTTAGTTTGAAAAGTGATGAAAAGTCGCAACTGCAATGATAAAAAAAAACAAAACCCACAAAGGTTTACTTTTAACTTTAACTTAATTTGGACCGTGAACTACAACAGGAAGGAAATTAAACTGTATTCAATGGAAATAGTGAAGGCTACCCAGTTGAAAATGTATGTCCTAGACTATCAAAGATAAAAATGGTACTGAAATAAAAGAGATACTTACGGCTCGTCAGCTCCCTGCTGACAAAGGCCTGATGGTCCGGGTTGATCTAAGGCACTAGTTCCAGGTTTACAATCTTCTTCGCTATCATCTTCTTGTTTCACAACAGCATCAGCATCCACAGTATCCGGCTCGTCCATCATTTGATCTTCATCTTCGTCATCAGATTCCAGAACAAACACGGTATCTGGGTCTTCTTTCACTTCACCCTCATCTTCATTCACTTCACCCTCATCTTCATTATTAGATTCTGGGGCAAACACAGGATCTGAGTCGTCATTAGGTTCATCCTCATCTTCTTCGTCAGATTCTGGGGCAATATTAATCAGTGCTTTTGCGGCAGCTGAGCGGCGCGGCCTTTTTGCAGGTGGTTCTTCAGCTTCCTAAAATTATAAATTACATCAGTATTTCAATTTATTTAAAAATTTGTCAGTGGCACCTACCTCATCAATAGAAGAGTGTTGAGCAAGATCTAAATCAGGTCTTTCCTCAATTTCTTCTTTGATTATATTTCCTATGGGGTTGGCAATTGCCAAAGCGTCATTTGTTAGGTAGTCATCTTTTTGGCTTGCTTGAGCTAGCCAAGACGATAAGGTCTTCTCTGCATCCGAAGAAGTGTTCTGGAACTTATAAAACAGGTCCAACCTATTCCAGCATATATCACATATTTTCTTGGGTAATTGATCTTCTTTAGATATCTGTAATTGAAAGAAAAATATGGTTAGATTCAAGTGAATTAGTTTTTATGTCTGTTTTTCTAGAACATTATATTTGGGTCAGAAGCCAGTTTGTGAGAACAATGGTTACATATTACATAAATTAGTTTTAAACATTTTCCAACCATTTGCAGAAATAAATCTCCATTGTGGATTCACTAAATAAATAAATCCGGACTCTAGTTATAACATTGTACGATGTGACTCAGAAAATAGGTTGACTGGGAGCTATGCTGGGAGAGTTTTGTGTATTATTAAAAAGGGCTTGCTATTTCATGTACTGACTGTTGTGAAAAATCCTAAATTATTCTGGTTAACTGCTGTAAAAATACAGAGTTGTATTATAGTATGTTTATATAGATCACTGAGCTAAAACATACCTGACTTTCTGAAGTGAATTTATGAAATAATGGAGGAAATAATAACATTATAGTTATTAATGATACAAGTTCGATATGAACGCCATAATGAAACGCGTGTAACGTTAAACCACGAGGCGTTAGCCGAGTGGTTTAGTTACACAAGTTTCATTAATAAAGTTCATATCGAACGGGTATCATTCAAAATTTAATCTACAATGGTCCAAATAGATTTGATTTGCCTTGAAATAGCAAAAACTTTTCAAATTAAAATTTGAAATTTAGCAGGTGCCCGTACTAGTCGAGAACCTGCTTGTTGGTTTTTAGAATTTTGACTTTGGCAGCTTCAATATTGGAGTCCATTTTTGTGCCATAAATTCAATTTTATAGTGGAAAATAATATTATTATTGGTGATTCTGAGTTCGAAAGTGTCTCTTCGAATATAGAGACAGCATTATTGAAAAGGTTCTTCTGGCAACTAACTTTCTTTTTGTATATTTTTCATTTCAAAATTTGGGTGTTATTATGAATTCTTAAACGCACTAGTGCTATTATGAAGGACCTAATGACATTCAAATGACAATGCTAAATGTGTCATAATGACACCGACGTAGATTAAAGGTATTAAAAACATCGATAAAGACCAACTAGAGAGGCATTTATTGGAAAAAGCTAGGTTACAAGATGGCTCTATAAACGTGGTACTAGAAAATTTCAACAAAAATATTTTGGAAGTATTGGATACTGTAGCCCCAATCCAGATCTTAGAAAATTCTCCTTTGAAGAATAAATGGTTTAATCAAAAAATAAAACTTTCAATAAAAACACGTGACACTCTGTATAATAGAGCTACATTGCAAAACAGTGGAGAAAACTGGAAAAAGTACCGAGAACGCCATAACTCGTTAAATGCACTAATAAGAAAAAAGAAGCAAAAGTACTATGAAAGCAACATCAATCAGAATAGAGGAGACAGTAAGAAGATGTAGAAAGTGATAGAAGTAATGAGTAACACTGTTATAATACTGTTCTGTTTTGCGATCTCAGCAAAGCTTTTGACTGTGTCGACCATGGAATCCTTCTGCGTAAGCTAGAAGCATATAACTTCGGTAATGGCAGCCGAAAACTTTTAAAGTCATATCTAACAGGAAGGTGCCAGGCTGTGCAGTACAGTGGTGTGACGTCGGCGGGGCAGGAAATAAAAATAGGGGTGCCTCAAGGGTCCATTCTGGGTCCAATACTTTTCCTTATATATGTTAACGATTTGCCCTTAATAGATCAAAAGTCTAATTATACTCTCTTTGCCGACGATACAACAATCTCTGTGATGGCGGACTCTCTTGAGGCTTCGTTGTTGAGTTCTTTGGAGGCACAGAGGATGGCTGAGAAATGGTTTAATTCGAATAGGTTAGTGTTGAACAGGAAAAAGACAGAGAGAATGGTGTTTGCTCTAAGAGAGATTGGGACAGTGAGAGACCAAGTTCCTCAAGCTAGGTTCCTTGGGGTTCTTATTGATCCAAAAGCACAGTGGGGTATACACATTGAGGCTGTAGCCTCAAAGCTGAACAGTTATTTGTATCTGCTACGTCGTCTTGCAGAAAATGTGTCCCCCGTGGTACTAAGAACTGCTTATTTCGCAACTTTTCAGGCACAACTTTTCAGGCACAACTTTCCTATGCTGTACTTGTATGGGGTCATGCCTCAGGTGTTCAGCGTCTATTTGGATTGCAGAGAAAGGCAGTCAGGGTGGTGAGTAGTTTGGGTTACAGGGATGATTGTAGGGTGACTTTTCAACAGCTGGGAATACTTACCCTGCCCTCTCTATATATTCTGGAGAATTTGCTTTATATAAAGATCAATATCCATATGTTCTCAACTCATGAAGACATACATGCCTATCCCACCAGAAACAGAAGTAATTTAATACCAGGTTACAGGTGACTGAAGAGGTGTCAGAATGGCCCTGGCTACTGGGCAATAAAGTATTTCAATGTGTTGCCATTGGAAATCAAAGAACTACCAAATAATAGATTTAAGGAGAAAGTGAAACAAATTTTAAATGTTTTTTATTCAAATGAAGAATATTTTAAGTATTTTTGTCATGATCAATAGTATTAATAATTGTAGTTTTTGCATTTTATTTTATAACTTGATTGTATGTATAAAGCCCAGTGCCTTAATGATTTTTTGTTTTTAAATTGTTTGTAAAGTGAATGTTTAATGTGCGAATGAATTGTCATTTTGTATTTTATTGTCATTTATTATTGACCTATTTTATTTATTTTGACGTATGTACATTACTTTTTTAGGCGACTGTCACAAAAAGATTAGTTTTACGGATTCAATATCATCCCTAAAGTATATCTTTTTTGGCCGCATTTACTTTACGGCCGCATTTACTTCACGGCCGCATTTGCTCTATTACTTTACGGCCGCTTTTACTTCACGGCCGCTTTTACTTCACGGCCGCTTTTACTTTACGGCCGCTACCGCTACTTTGGTGAAAATAAACAAACAATCGGAAACGCAGTGCCGTAGCCATCAACACAACGAATAAACAATTAGTTAGCAACCACAATGAAACCAAGTTTTTAATTTTAGCTCTATCCAAATTTCCACATATAATACTAAAAAAAGCGGCATGATTAAAAATTTGGGAGAAGTATTTTCTTGCATTTTTTTCGGAAAATGCCAAAATTAAATATTCCTCAACGTTATGGTCTTCAGGTCCACCTATGTTATACTCTATGTTAAAATTTACAATTATAGTCGGAAATACCTAACATATCAGCAAGTTTTCAAAATTGATTGCTTTTTTAAAAAAAGCTCAATGTAAGATACCAGGCGAAAAAGTCGGCTATTTTGATCAATAAAGTTTAAAGCTACTGTTGAATTTTCTTCTTTTTTCAAGAACAAACACTCGCCTAAAAAATTTTGTGTGCACCTCGGCCGAATGATCTATTTTGGCCTCACCTGAAATTTGCTTGGCCTCGGCTCGGAATTTCTTTTTCAAATTCTTTGTTAAATTCTGAACGTATCAGTATTTCATGTATCATGTCTCATACCTATTTTCAACTGTGTCGGAAATATTGACAGTTGAAAATTGACTTTTTTGCAACTTTGACAGCCTGTAGGTAGAACCTAAACGGTTGATTTAGAGCAAAACCGATCATACATTCTTATCTTAGTTTTCCATAAACTATCGTTTGACACCAAATTTGAATTTAACCGGAGATTAAATTTAATTGGAATTTTTAATTATGGAATAAATTCAAAGTTGGTATCAAATGATAGTTTATAAAAATCTGAGATAGGAATGTAAAATCGATTTTCCCCTAAAATAACCCTGTCAAAGTTGCAAAAAAGTCAATTAATTTTCAACTGTCAATAGTTCCGAAACAGTTGAAGATAGGTATAGAACATGATACATGAAATATGTTCAGAATTTCACGTAGAATTTAAAAATGAAATAAAAAATTGGTAATTTAATTTAAAAAAATAAAGTTAACTGTCATAACTTGTTTTTGGGTCACCCTGTATATATGGTATTATCATCAAAAAAACAAAAAACGGCAAATAAAATTAAAAATTGACGTGTCCGAGGTTTTTTGAATAATCTTCACCCTGTATATTTTATAGATTTTATTCCAATCTTTACGAGCTCACTGTATAATGATCTATTGTTGTTAATTGTATAGCACTGATCCTAATAAACGAAGTTATTATTATGATAGGATGAATATAATACATGATAGGATGAACATAATACCTCCTAGGATGCCAACTTATTTTGGGATCCATACATTTTTGTCTGGTGCGTCAAAAATATTTTGCTTTTGTATAAATTGACATAAAGATTCTAAATTTTGGATTTCGACTGCTATAAAATTTTAAAAAATGTTTGTTAGAATCATTGATCGAAAACCAGATTGATTTTTCTCTGTTCTTGGCCACTCAGCGAAACTCAGAATGATCTTTTTTTCCTGGCATTTTTCTGTTCTTGGCCATATGAACGAATAAGAATTGGGATTTTTATTGAACTTTTTTATTGGCTCTCACAAAACAAAATAAGACAGACAGACCCAAAGAGAACAAATAAAAAAGGAAAAATAAGACAGACAGACCCAAAAAGAACAGATAAAAAAGAAAAAATAAGACAGACAGACCCAAAAAAAAAACAGATAAAAAAGGAAAAATCAAACATTTCCAATAAGGGGAAATTGCAAAAAGATAAAGTGAAAACAGTGCTTTGAACCATGCACCTTAACGGAAGAAGACTTTGAAAAGGTTAAATAATCAGGAAGAATAAAATGACAATCAGAAGTGCATGCAAAATCTTTGATATTCCAAAAACAACCATTCTGAATAGGAAATCTGAATGAGCACCTGATCAAAGAGCGCCTTCCCAGTTAAAAAACGAAATGGCTTGAAAATGGAATCCTTCAACAGATTCAGATTTGCTATAAAAATATTATCGAAGACAATCCCAGAATTTCTCTCAAGAGAAGCTGAAGAAATTAACAAACCCAGAGCAATAGAGCAAAAAAGGAATAAGAAAATGTCATCGTTTTGATCAGGAATCGGGGCCGATTAAGGTAAAATTATGGTAAAAATCACTGATG